TGAATATTGAACGCCGCGAGTTTGATTAAACCCTCTATTTCGTGATAATTTTCATTTGTGTCGCATATTTTAGCATTGTCTCGTGTAGAGTGTGTAAGATTTTTCAATGCGCAAGATTTATTTCTCAAAAATGAAAGATATATTCTTGTAAACTTGAAAGTATGTATTATACTAAGGCAAATAGGAAAGGTTATATATTTCACATGTTAAAAAAATATGATAATGTCAGTTGTGTGCGAAATCTACGATCTATTTTTCATTGGGTTTTAATGACCGCTCTCTTCTCTTTGTTTCAGGCTGTGCATTCGTGAAACTCTCGTCGCACCAAGAAGCACTGGCGGCGATAAACTCTCTACACGGTAGCCAAACTATGCCGGTGAGTATCCACCGTATGATATTATATCTCTCTTCGATCGAAGCTCGTTATTTTTTTATCTTCCAATCCACCTCTTCAGCCGATGACCGCCAGTCATCGTGTTCACGGACGCCGTGCGTATTTACGCTCGGAAAATGTCACGTACGCGATATTAACGGAAAGGAGGGTAAATATTCATAGAAGCGCTACACCTGACGGAAGAGAGGAAGGGGTGCGGGGGCTGATATGAATATCGAGGATAGGGATGCGCGCCGCCGTGGCCGGGCAGTAGATGACCGTCTTCCGTTAACGGGTGGCGGGAAAGGAAGTGACCGGCGGTTGGAGATCGGACCGGGTAGCCGTAGCAATGGCTGTCGTGCCTGCAAACACCAGCCAGTAATGACTGGCCAAACAGAAATCTGCATAACACTTGGAGAAACGCGGTTCGCCTCCTTCTCCGCAGCCCTCGGAGAGAGCGTCCCTCGGTCTCCGTCAAACCGCCGAACTTTCTCGGCTTAGGGTCGGACCAGGAATTCCCAGTTGTAATTGAATTGTCAGTGAGTTTCGTCCAGGATTCCACCTGCTGATTGGCGAAACTTTGCAAAGCCGCTTGCCGGACCCCCAATCGTCCTTGTCGGCGTTATTGCCTATCGACCGCCGCTGACATGCATCGACGCGCCTAAGGGAGTTTGCATCTCGGACAATTATTAGACCTATAATGTACAATTGAGATCGCGAAGATTTATGTGGGACTATTGCTTTTGATTGTGATTTTATAACGCTCTAAATTAATAATTTCAAAAAGTAGTTAAATATTAAAAATCTTAATATGCATATTATTTACGAGCAGAAGATTAAAATAATACGCATAAAACATATTATTAATGATACAAACTTCTGATAATCTATATGTACACGTATATCCATCCATGTATTTTTCTATAATATGATCGTCTTCGAGAGCGCGATACAAACACGAAACACGAGACGATCTTATAACTTTTTATGTTATTAGAGCTACTAGAGAAGAGTAACAGGATCCATTATAATTCATGTTCTTGTATGTTATGTGAGACCATTAGGAAGAGAAGATGGCGTCACTTTTGGCATTCGACAAGAGATTCGCGGTTCACGTCGTACGTTAAACGCCAGTCCCTGCACGAACGTCGTGCGCTGGGCGAAATCGTGGGGGTCGAAGCGCGGGTTGGTTACGTGAATATTACTCGTTACAACGCCCTAATCTAATAGCCGAATACGGGTGGAAGACGGAGTAGGAGTGAAGAGGGGGGAGGGGGGAGGGCGACTTCAGGACCGCGACTATTTGCCCACGAAAGAGGTACTGACAGCGCACGCGGGCCGTAATATGCAGATTGCTTAATTATCGCGACGAATTATGCAAATCTCGACGCCGATGTTACGAGATTTCACGGCGCGCAGTCGTGACCGAGGGGATGGGGAAGCGAGAAGGCGAAAGCGGCAGCGAGTGTCGGGGTTAACGCTTTCGCCGAAATGCCGACCTTCGACCCTGAATTATTCGACCCAGAAGATATACGAAAGGCACGTGGTAGCGTTCTACGCGGGACGTAGCTTAATTATTGCGGCGAATTATGTAGATCTCGACGTTATGAAATTTTGCGCGGCGCGGAGGAGAAGAAAGAGAGGACCGTTTGTGTCAAACAATTTAATGTCAGCGAATCATATGAGCGTGATATTTACGTGCGAAGATTAAAATAGCAGCAGTTCTTCTGTCATTTTGGTTGGTCATAAAAAATAATGTGATCCAATATCTCAGTTTATCTAACAATGTGTTTTTGAAAACTACGTACTTTTATTTCGCCATCGCTTGAAAACACGGCAATAAGCGCAGACAGCGGATAAAAAATTCACTCTTTCTCTTTGGCCAATCAATATAAATCTTTCGTAGAAAACAATCGTTATCGCGAAGGAGACGCGATGTTATGGAGCCCCAAGAGTAATTCGGCTTGACTATGTTCGTTCCAGTTTCCTCTGACCTGGCGCAAGATCACAACCCCTTCCAATTTTCCCCTGTCCTATCTATTCGCTCACACACGCTTAGAGAAGCGTCGATCTATATAAGCGTGTATGTGTGCGCGCACATAAAAATGCCGAATATATGTACGATCGTACACGTATGTCATCTCGCGTGTGTACCCTCTGCTTTCAGCCACTCGAACACGTCGACGCTCTCGGTCACGAAACTGCATTACGAACGCAACATCTCGGCTCATACCTACGAAATGAGATATTGATTTGCAATCTGATACTGTAATACGCGACGACGCGCTGTCGGCCTGCAGACGACATACTGGCTCGTAGTGGAAGCGTGAAATCGTAACACCTTATGAAATCCACATGATGTAGATATACACAATATGGATAATGTTATTTTATTTAATGACAAATGCACACGTTAACATTGATTCTTTTTTTTTCAATTATCCTTTACACAAGCCGCTTAATTCGCAGTGACAAGTCCAATTTTAAAATTCAATAAAAAAAAATATAAATTTGAGAGCGATGTAATTGGAAACTTATGCATATATTTAACAAGATTTTACAACATTACGCTCTTATGCTATTGAAACAATTATATATTTCGTACATCTGTCACACGAGAATATAATTATATTAGCAAGCATCATAAACATAATTTATTTTCTAATGTGTTGAACAAACAAGATTATTTCATCATCAATATATTTATATAATTATTGCAATGTAAATATGAGAAATTTAATTGCAATGATAAATTATATGTTTTCCATTGAAAACGTGATATTTTTAATAGATACGCCATCGCGCGATTAATATTACAGCATTTCTTTTTTGCTGATAACACAAAAACATTATCATAAAATCTGTATACTATAAGCGTATTTATTTCGTTTTCACGAGTGGTTTTAATCCGATTTATGTTTCTCGGATCGACATATTTATGCATCGCGCGACAAGCAATATTTCTTCAAGCGCTCAATATTTTAGCCGATTTTACGATCCGTCATTCGGAGATATTACACACGAAAAAATTTTAATTTCTAACAATACCGAGACGTCTGTATACACAGACCAGTACAAACATTTTTTACCGATTTCACGGCCCGTATAATGTGGTTTACACTTTTCGCAGCAACGCTCCCGTGCCTTTCCTAGCGAACAATATTTTTCCAGCAGCTCAATGTATTCTCGGATTCCGCCATTCTCTTCTCGACGCTTTAAAAACTCAATTTTTTTAAATGCTTTAACAGAAGAATAACTTTATCCTCCTTCTCTTCTCGCTTACTAGAAAACATACAAACCAATTCGCGGTATCAACTGCAAGTTTGCTCCGGAGTAATGCTTTATAAAATATTATAAAAATTTCCGTCGACCTCTAATAATGTTATTACAAACTGTGATTCTGTCATGCGAAATGTGTCGGGATAACACGATTTTACTCTTTTTCTCTCTCTTTCTCTCTCTTGTAAAAAATTAAATACTTCTACTCGCGACGATAATCTACCACGTTTTTCTGGACACGCGCGTCAGGCAAGCCTGCATCAATTGCACAGGAGTATCTCGAGCCCCCAACTTTTTTGCACACTTTTTTGTTTGATCACAGCCTGTTTACACATCTCGAATCATAGGCGCGTTCGTGCATCACGCAACGGGCAATATTTTTTCAAGAGCTCGATATTTTCGTACGCCGCCTCTCTTTCTCTCCCTCCGTTTCTCTCTTTTTTCTTTCTTTTATCTCGTATGTGTCAACGCAGCGGCATGCGAGCCAGGCCTCATGTAGTTATGCTTTCCGAAGCGTGTGACATTTCTTGTCACGCCTCGCAAACCCTCCAACGTCGCGCTCCTCGCGTACCGAAATCTCCCCCTTGCATACATATATCTCTTGGAAATGTCTCGTAATAAAAGCAAAAACCACGTGAAGTGTTTCGTCGCGCCGCGTCAAAACGAGTTGTGGAATGATGTCCCCTTGGTCCTATTTACGTAACTTTGGCATACCGTCGATTGTTGCCATCTTTTCGCGGTGAAATGTCTACACAGTCTATTCGTTACGAAAGTTTAAAACAATCCAAGGTAGCCAACTCTAGATGATACTTATTGTTAGTGTAGACATAATAAAAATAGAAATTTTTGCACATTTATTAAATTTAATACACGTAAAATATTTTAATACTAGATGCATAATCTTTAGTTGGATTTTGCAAAATTAATCGGAATTTATGCGGCATTCAACGTGCTGAATTGGATTTCAAGTAGACAGGGAATTCATCATACAAGAAGTTTCGAAGTGATAAGATACAATGGCCAATTGAAGTTATTCCAAACTTTAGAACAGTCAGTCGGATGCCTACAGGCGATTCGCAGGGTGTGCTCGCTCCTCGATCGGAACGAGGAAACTCGAGCGATGGAATTCGATACTTATTGAGCGAGTTTTTGAATGGACATTGACGCGAGTGATTAGGCACGCGCAAACTTTAAAAGTTCGTTAAGTTGAGGAACCCGCGGATCTGGACGTAACGCGAACATAACGGGGTCTCCATCTCCGGCCGGATGTTACCTTTCTGGTCGAGAACAGCATTCACGCGCGCGCGCGAGCGCGCGCGGAAAGTGGATGGAAGGAAATTGTCTCTGCATTAACGGAGGCTCGCAAACTGCTCCCAACATTTAATTAAAGACATTCCCTGAGTAATTCTCTCGGCGGCCTCGTAATTGCATTGCTTTTATCTCCAGTACAACTGTTACTTGTTTGGCGGGTCCTTCGTGTGTATCGGGAGTCAGAACGACTGCGGAGTCCGAATCTTCACAAAGAAAGAGAAAGACAGATCGCGGGAGCAGAGGGAGGAGAAGGGGGTGAATGGACGACCGTGGAAAGGAAGCGCGATCGACCGTGAGAGCACGGGAACCCATCAGCAAGATCCCGTCCTTACTGCGGGATTCGAAGCGATTATTCGTACGATAAGGCTCTTGTCGTGATTCCTCATTGTGCGCCGACTCTCCCTCCGTTACAG